CCCCAAAACCCCAAAACCCCAAAACCCCAAAACCCCAAAATGATTTAGACTGATATAATATTAAATATTCTTAACTCAGTCTCATACCAACCAGTAAGCCATTGCTAAACACCTGCTGATAGGAGTTCTTCTAGATGAAAAAGTGATTCCAAACCATAATAAAATATCTGTGTCAGGATAGATGGTATAATACCATCAACTCGAATTGAAATCTTTCTGAAGACCAGATTCCACAAAGTAAGTAGGAAGTGGTACTAGGCATCTTGGGCTGCGGCATACATGCCTCATAGAGTCATTTAATAGCACCCCCACTTCGGATGAGTGCAATAGAGATTTCAAAACCTTACTCCTGTTTCAATGGATTTTCCTTGAAATAACCATATTTCTAGGTGAAATGGATAGGTTGAATAAGTCTACAATAAGGAACGTTCGGAAGGTTAGTGAAATCTTTAATTTATATAGTCAGTAATCATCCTAGCCTTCTTCAATCTATCATTCCTCGTCCTACATGTAAGTTTAGCCTAATAACTCACTAGATGGCGAAGGAAGCTCAAACTCAGAGAGATTTGCATATGTTCTTGGGAAATGTACTTTTTACCTTATGATCAGTACTATCATTATTTTTCATCAAAAAATTCCCGGTTTACATCCAGACTTGCTTATTCTTATGCAATTCCTTCGGGATTTTGGCATTGCACTTCTTTTTCCAGACAGACCACAAGGGGCATTTCAACTGATATATCCCATGCGCATACTGCTATCATTATTTCACATCCTCCCTAGCTCCTTCAAAGAGACATCTAAGCTCACTGGTGTTCACAATTTCTGTACTAATCCACCTGTACTGCACATTTTTGAAAATAGGCAAGCTGGATAACGACATTTTGGTATCTTCGTTCATTTCAATATTCTACTTCGACTTTGGACTGGGCGTTCAGCAATCAAAATTGGCTGACATGTATGCAATGATCCTAGAGAACAAGAAATTGGCAGGTGAGAAGCAAAAGGTGGTACAAGAGTTCCCTCACCCTGTGCTGATAATCCCTGAAAAATTAACTCGGCTCTCCCAGTGATACTCAAATGACCAGTTTGAGTCTCAAATCAAGTCTTTAAACCACAAGATTGAAGAGCTTGACCAGGTTAAGGTTGTTATTAAAAAGAAAGAAGAAGAGCAAAAGATTCAAAAGGCTAACAAAAATGACAAAATTCAGCTAAGCCTATACAAGTACCTGAAACAGTCGCAGAATAAGCCTAAAGAGTTTAGAGCAGAGATCAAGGACGACATCATAATTGAGTGCGAAAATAGCTCTGAAAAGTAAGTACTAACTTTAGGTATACTTCTGTTTGCTTACTCTAATAATTACCTCTGACTACTCTCTATAGCTTGATGGAGAATGAGCTAGAATCCCTAAATGATGAGCAACAGAAGCCGAGTAAACCACATAGAAATTTTAGTATAAAATCTCTTAAGCTAGAATGGAAGGGGTACATGTCCTTCATGCATGTCTTCATTGATCACACCAATATTATTAACCTTGAGCAAGCAAAGAACCGCATCAAGATGCAGAGAATAATGTTCGCAAGTGCGAGTCATGAGTTTCGGACACCTCTCAATGCGATAATCCACTCTTACAATTTCATTAAAGCTAGCTTTGAAGATTTCATCGAGGTTCTGAAGCGTAAAGTGCCTGGAAAATTCTTTAAAAGTAGAAGAATAGAAGAAGATATTGAACATATCTTGAAGTTTACCAAAACAGGAGCTACTTCATCAGTCTTGCTAATGTCTTTGGTTGAAGATATCCTGAACCTATCCAAGATCGACAATGGCACATTGACTACAGTCTTTGGATATTTCAATATCTCTGAGTTGCTAAACGAAGTTCACTCTCTGTTCGTTGTCCAATGTGAGAACAAGAACATAGCTCTCACCTTTGAGTGTGAAGGAAACCTGAGATTCTGTGAAGTAAAGACTGACCGTAACAGGCTGAGACAGGTCTTGCTCAACCTCGTCTCTAATTCTGTTAAATTTACCTACAATGGGTATGTCTCGGTGAAAGCAGCCGTGACCAAGACATTTGATGGCAATACATTTGTAGAGTTTAGTGTTAAAGACACTGGGATTGGCATTAAAGAAGAAGACCAAGTCAGGCTCTTCAAACTCTTTGGCATGATCGAAGACACTAACAACCTCAACCCTGATGGATGTGGACTTGGCCTCACTGTCTCAAAGAAGTACATTGAAATCCTTGGAGGGGATATAAAAGTAAAATCTGAATACGGAGTTGGAACTGAGATGATCTTTACTATTTTGCCCAAAGACATCAAGAATTTCTATGAAGGAGTGAGGAGGCCTTTGCATAATTTCGCCCATTTATCTCCAAACCCCTTTGATAGTTGGGATGTCAATCTCTCTCCGTAAATAATGAGCACAACACCAGCAGATCGATGATTAATCAATGAAGAGTTGATACATATAATGACTCAAAATTTAATTTTTAATTATCTCAATCTTTACTTTTAGTGTCGGGGTTTTGGGGTTTTGGGGTTTTGGGGTTTTGGGG